GTATGAGGCAGATAGCGGTAACGACACGCAGCAGCCTGCCCGACCCACTCGGACTATGGCCGCCTCCAGTCGACCCTCGCCCCACTGACAACCTGAAAGAACATAAACTTGAAATTCTACTATTTCAAAAGAATACCGTGAGTTTGCACATCGTTGAAATCGGCGATGATATGGGCTAGAGTAGGCGTTGGTGTGTATGCCCGACATGACCAGGGGAGACATGTCACAAATTAATAGGTGATGTAACTTGTAGGATGTCAAGAAAATGGATGAGGTCAGACCGTGTGTCCTCCCGCGAATCGGTCAGTCTAACCTGAGGGTAGTTTGGGCGATGGGTGTGATAGTCGACGATACATCATTTTTATTTTACTTTTTGACCGACTTCCCAAAATAAGGAGGTACTCAATTCGTCTGTATGTTTTTATTTTTAGGTGATATGTTTTATTTGTATGTTTGAGCTAAAATTAAGATCACGTTAGGAAATGTAGTTTGTATTTACAAAGTTTTTGAAATAAATCACGATTACATTATAAAACCAACGTGCTGAATCAATGGCATTAGTCACTATCACTAGAGCTGTTTGCTACATACCTACTTTGAACAGAAATAACATTTAGTTTCGCACAATTACAAGTTAAATATTCAATTCTCATTTCGAGCGCGTCGTGTTTGTTACTCATTATATCGATGAGTGGTCACACAATCCTTATTTGTTGTTACTGTCTGTTTATAAACTTCTGACGGCTGCAATACAATCTTAAAGACATTTATGAAACTTGTCTGCATCTCTTTTATTTCTTTTCAGTATAAACTAATCATGTCCAATTCCAATTTAAAAACGCATCTATAATAAGTAATGATAATAACAGGTAATCAATACAATAATACAAGATTTATTCGTCAATGTTGACCAACAACTGGTACCAATTTAAAATACTTTTTCTTTATCTACAGCTTTGATCGTCCAATCAGTTAAAAACGAAATGGACATAGAATGAATTGTGTGCCATATTTTTTGTACGAGTACGAAGAAATATCGACATTTACAAAGTAACAAATAGTCTCAGAATCGTATGGTGATAAATAACTCTACAAATACAATGTACCTTTAAATTGTCATAAGTTCATTCTTTAGACTAGAATGTATTATTTCGGAACATATTGTAGTTACGAGCTATTATTCAAAGCTTTGAATATGCAGACACCTGTTTTCGCGACAAAGCCGGATGAATAAAAAAAAGCAAAAACGATTGTGTTTTCTCGTATCAGGAATGTACAGTGAGATGCGTAGAGTTTTTTCCATGTATCAGATAGGGCAGTGTGTTAATCCATGCTTCGATGCCCTCGAAGAATGGAAAGCTAACTACCATACTTTATACGAACAGAAAGTAAAGATTGCATTGATGACTAACACTGTTTATCCATGTATGGTTATATGGAAAATCTATCTACATTAATTAATAATACAGTAGAACCTCGACCTTTTTCGATTAAGTCTGATATCAAGTAGTTTCTATTAACTATCTTGGAATTACTTACTTATCAACAAGAGGCCCTAATATTGCTGGGCCAAGAAGAGCGATGCACGGCGCGACGGCTGAGATCAGACGTGCCTCAGCCCGGTCCAATCCCGTCGCCAGCATGTGCAGGGATAGGAACGGGTAAATGCATCCTATGCCTGTAATAAACAAACACATTAAATCGGCCACGACCAAGTTGTATTAAAACATCATTTTTTTCATATCAGTTTTACTATGAGACTGGTTTGATACAAGTTTCATCTAGAATAAACTTTATCTTTATAATAGATCTGAATCGAAGCGAGTAAAGTTAGATTCTTATTAACAAGATTTTGCGCCAGGCGAGTTATAAAGCATTTCAGTATCGCATTTTTAATAAGCAAAGTTATGAAGAAAACCGCCATGGCCGTTAGTTAAAAGTTGACTATTCTTTGAAAGTTTTTAATCCAGTTTAACCATCCGATTTAGCTGATATACCTCTTCACGTAATGATAGAATGAGGAGTAAGAAAATTTTAATTCACGTGTCTTTTTTTTAACCAAGCATACGAAGAAATCCCTTTAAACAGATATAGAGCATTTTTAAATAGCACGTTCTTATTGCGAAACGAGCCGGTGGCCGGTGTGATATATTACAGACATGAAAAACGCAACTAACAGAAAAACTAAACAAATGAAAATAATTTGTAGGTACTCGTATTTACGAGTAGAATTCACGATTTTCATCTGAAAACGCTTATCATCAACGCATTTTTATTAACCACCACCACCACTATCTATCATTATTTGAAAACACACAGAAGCTACGAACGTATTTTTAGTTATAAGTTTTCCTGTTCGGTAGCTTACATCATCGCAGCTTTGATTTGCATATTTTAAATGATCTAAAAAGATAATTTACACTTCGATTTATATATGCAATTTAATTAACAACTATATTAAGATAGATTTTCTATAAATTTTAATACAATTATCTTCTTTTAATACATTTCTATAATATTTGAACATAATCATGGCAACCCTAAGTATATTCGCAATGCAGTAGCGAGGAGCGAGGAGCGAGGAGCGAGGTGAATGATCCCTAAATCATTCAATACCTGGAGACCGAGGTCGGTCTTGTAAGGCAAGTTGCGAAGCTACGAGCTGGCCCACAACACACCGGTTTCGATATTGTACCACTTTTTATTGCGACTGTAGCAAGTTCATACAACTTCCTTTAACTGAACTGAACTGTATACCTACTTATACTCTTAAGAGTACTATACCAATCTGCAAACTGGTATTGCCATGAAATACTTTTGATGCCTTCATTAAATCACATCCTTTCGTGATTTTCAACAATTTTAGTATGATAACTTACCTGAGAGAAAACAGAAGAGAACACATTTCAATGTAATGAGATTCTTATTGATAAGCGGCTTCATTTTTCTTTATTATTCGTTTTCGAGTATCTTCAAATTTTAGCTTTTACACATCTTGTATCTGAAAAAAAAAACGTGGGTTAATACTGAATTTTACAAAACCCATAAAAAGTTGACAATAGAATACAATTTTATAGGAATCAATTAGTTCTAAATTAAAACATTTTTGATCTGTTGTAACGAAATGCCCCACCCTTTAATTACTTAATAGCGTTAAATGTTATTAATATTCCACGAACTGTCCATGGAATGGGGCCATGGTCATATTTCCACGCGCCCACGTGTTTCTAATGAACACAGGGTTCGTTGGTTTTAAAATAGTTGTCAAGGAATGACGTGAGCTTGTATTGTGATCTCATAGAGACACCGAGGGCGAGCACACAGCTACTCAGACCTAATTGCGGATTCGTCGCCGCAGACTTGTGATAAATTGATCGAGCATAACTGTTTTATTCTTGTACTGTTAGTCTATTGTTACTGTAAGCTAAGTATAATGTGGAAATTAAAAGGAAACAACAACGTTTTCATTAGACGATACCTTGGGTAATTATACCGGAAACAACTGTACAACACATATTATCTCTTTGATTTACTTTAAGAAAAATAGAGGTTAGTAATATGTATTTGTACCCAATGAAAACCCAAGATATATAAACATAGAAGGCATCGATCAAACAGTAATGTGAATTAAAGACGCACGATAGAGCATTGTCCATTATAAATCCGATTAGCAGACTTCGTGTAAAAATATTAACCAGGCACGTGGCTTTCCTCTCAGTGTTTTCCACAGCACCGCGCATGTGATAAACAATTCCGCAAAAATGTGATGAACAGTTGTAAAGTAAAATCTAATTATGTATGCTTTGATGCGGGTTCATACTCGTAATAACTACAGTGAAAAAACTGTGTGTAATTTTCTGGTACAATTGATTCAATAGTTAGTATTGTTAATTTGAGATTTCACCCACGTAATACTGGGTGTGAATAGCTGGTTACCTATAAAGACTTTATAATCGCATTATAATAATAACTTGTACAAACAAATTGTGTTTACAGTCCCACCAGTCCGGCTTCGATCGTTCACTAATGGCCTGTCCGTTTTGTTTACACAATCGCTTAAAGGTTGCCTTCGGAAAATTCTGTTATTTTACTGGTGCCATGTAATTTCCAATTCGTATTAAGTTAATCATATAGTTACAAATTTTAAAGAGTGAAATATATAATTACTAAACCACGAAATCTTGAAATCTGTATTATATTGTGCCAAATGTTTTAAAAAACACCGCTTAAGTAAACCTTTAGAAGTTGACATTATACCACAAGGCCATTTGAATTTAGGGTCAATACAAGCAGCGATGTCGCCTTGAACAGTAGAAAAGGGTCCACAGTATCTGGGTTGGACTTGTATACAAAACGCGTATCACAAACTTTCACACGAGAAGTCGGCGTCCATGGCAGACCGCCAATGTGATACAGATTTGTAAACTGTTATTTAAAACTGCTAAATGTAAACAATAACAATCACGTCACGTCATCATATCACTTGAGAAATATTTTTTTAAATAAATTATACATCCGGAGTTATTTCATCACTGAGGTTACGTAATTTTTTGGTATATCACTTCACAGATTTAGTAACTAATGTTTACTACCGAACTGTTGACTAGTTAAATCGCAGATACCTTTCGATAGTGGTATTTAAGTGGCCAGGAGGGTAATTTTACAGTGATATCCAATTTGTTTTTTCTTAAGTTTCCTATATTGTCTGTTATACATTTATTGGTTGGAAACCTTGAACTTTTTATGTTTTATTTAGACGGCGGAATTCGGTACCAGACACGTCCGATTTTAATTTATCTTGTGCATGACAACTTGTCACGCGAACGGAGCTTCTTACAAATTGTGAACTCGTTTCAATTTTATCAATTGAATCATGTTGAGGACTGTTTCATTTTAAATTGTTATACTGAAGTATAATAATACGACGCCTTCATTGTATAAAGTTAATATTCCAGCAGAGAAAGCTGTAATGTGGTCAAAGTAACACTATTAAAATTAAAGATTAAAGTTTTATTTTCATCAGCGTATTATTATTTTTACAGCGATTTATTGTATACGAGCTGTTGCCCGCGACTTCGTCCGCGTGGTATTAGAAAACATACGAACTATCTAAATTACAAAAAGCTACGTATCCTTCGGGAGCCGGATATTTCTCTGGGATGAAGCTTATCTCATGTGTACTCCAGACTTTGTTTTATATCAGTGCCAAATTTCAATAAGATATGTCGAACCGTTGCAGAATGATCGAGTGAACATTAAAAAACTAAATTAATGAATCCCACGGGAACCGTAATTATTCCCGGGATAAAAAGTAGCATATGTGTTCTTCCAGACTATGCTCTAAACCTGTGGCAAATTTCATGGAGATCCGTTCAGCCGTTTAGGCTACAAACGCTAACAAACATCCATCCATCCATCCATTCATCCATCCATCCGTCCATCTAAACTTTCGCATTTATAATATTAGTAAGATTTTCGTTATTTCTGTAATTAACACTAGTAGTACCTAATATACAGATACATGTCATAAATATGCACAATTCTATGATAATGGTTCGTACGTCAGTTCCATCGATATAAGATTACCTAGTGAAAGTAGAGCAAAAAATAATCTTTTAATGGTTCATTCTTGCCCTCATTTATAGCCGGCTTGCATGCTGGTAGGTCGTTTGTTATAATTGCAAAGGTGAACAGGGCAGATCGCTTATAGCTTGTTGGACTGTTTCTATTTGTGTGGTTGAAGAAAATTACATAATGAATGTATACTGCTGACTAGCAAACAGCAGAAAAGAGCATAAACCTATTTAACTGGACAAGCGTAATATGTTTTTATTAATTTCAATATGGCACATAACAATATTCATTTTTTCGATACATTTGATCGTATTTGGCATACCTCTTATAATTATCAAAAAGTCTATCGGCAGTAATTTTTTATAAATGATCAAACTGTTTAGTTAAGTCACTTTGGATATAACGATCAAATTTTGACACAAATTAGCACAGCAACAATAAAGCTACTAGCTAAGAAGGAAGCTATCGTTAACCAATAATGCAAGAACTACCGTGAAATGTAGCAAGGCGTTACACTGCTTTAATCAGATAAGTACTGCATAGCGGATGTTAACATCAGCACACATCTGCCGAAACGAGTTTCGTTTGCTGTTAACTCACATGGCATTTTATTTATACATATATATTCTAAATTGTTTTAATTACCAGCAAATATGCTAGAGTAAAGTTTTTGAAAGATTACTGTGGATTCCGGGCTAATCATCTGTACAAAATTTTATTTTCATGCCTTTTATTTTCTCTGAAATAATTGAGATAACATGATATTTTTGTATGGATACAGTTCAAACCTACGGTTAGAAGCAGTGCGACGGGAGTGTTCGATGCCGTCACCGCTATAATCGGCGAAGGTCCGTCGCGATGCGTGACCAACGACGCGCGCCTTCGCATAGGGCGGACAGCAAGCCGCATTAATACACCAAAACACCCACACAAATTGGGTTAATGCCATTAAATAATGTTTTATTGGAGTAATTAAAATATTTTACTATTTCTATTAGGTATAATGGAGTTAGTGCCTACGCTTCGGCTTACACTGAAGATTGTTATTTACTAAAGTTATAATTGTGATTTGCCAAACTTTAAACCAATTCTTATACAAGAAAACATCTTGAAGCCATCTTAGTGTCAATTGTAAAGTAATAAATCATAACAATAGAATAATTTTAGCGCATTGAATTGTGAACACATTGGTGTTCGAGACACGCGCAGTTACTTTTTCAGAGCCTATCTTTGATCAGTATCGTCGCTTACAAAATATAATTCACACTTTATATCGATTATTCTTTATTCGTGTTGTTGAATTATGCACCTAAAAACTTATACGGAAACAACGTTATTTCAGGTTTTTTTCAGATACGATTAGTTTTTGTTACAGGAATTTAAGGAGTGAAAACATACCAGTACTTCTATCTACGACGGCTAAATTTTAAAAATTATTCATGTAAATATCATTACAATATACAATATTTATCTTTTTAATGTATCATAGAGTGCGTTTTTAATGAAAACGTCTTTGCATCAAGTGACAAGTGAATTTATGATAACCTTTGACTTTTTCGTTCATGATAATATGACACGAACCTATTTATAGCGTGAAGCAGACAATTGCTTGCGTAGAATTTCCGGTAAAGTTAATTCATACTTCATCGTAATATCAAAGAAATAATACATATTATGGTATTATTTACCTACTACTTAATACACTATTTTATAACTTAATATACATGAAATATTCGGCTACATTTTTGAACTCTTGTGCTAACCTTGAAGATTTATAACTGTTACATTATTTTTGGTCTTTCATTGAATCTCATTATATTTACCATCGTAGAGATAATCTTATATCATAGCAAGGCACTTGGGTCACTAATACGTCATGCTTTCGACATTGTAATTATAGCATTAGTCAGTCTGGTGCAACGATGTTCGATGCAAAAGCAATTGGGATTGGCCACAGACAACTCTCACAATAACCACGCACCTACTTATGTTCATAGATTATTATATTGTTGAATCATGAGACACTCACTAGAGTTAGTTACGTCTCTGAGCTAAGAAATTGAAATACAAATTTTACAAACAAGATCTAGACAGAGCAAGTTTCTCGAAAGTAGGAGTAATGATGGACTTCAGTATAAAATGCTGTAATATTAAACAACCATATCAAAACATCATGAGAACTTTTATTTCCCTAGCTGCCTCCTAATGAAATCTACAATTGGAACCCATAATAGATACTAACAAATTATAAGTATTTAAAATAATTGCTACCGTGTTACTTCAGTAATACCATTGTCAGACGAATTAGAAGCAAATATTTTTATGACAATGTTGCATGTCGCAACGCCGTATGGCTAAGTGGGACATGATGCCTCAGCACAAACTGTTGATTTTGTATTCGTGTCGTTACAATCAATTTAAATGCTTCAATCAATGCTTATATTGTTATGTTATGTTGTTCAAAGTAATCATGTATTTGTTTTTGGAATAAAGTACAAATATGGTATAGTACACAAATATGAACATTGCAGGAAGTGTCAAAGTTAACAGTTGTTAACAAAGCCTGTAAGTTAACATAAGACCATACACTCATAAAACTGTGAAGGGTATCTACTCTTATATTATGTCAGATATGTAGTCCAAGTTTAATTTTTAATACTTGCCAATTTTTATTATAAAAAACGTAACAGAATCATAATAAGGTAACATTTAGCTAACGGTACATCTTACGGGCGCTTGAGCACGTAGCTTATAAAAAGAAAGCTTTCATGTTAAGTGTTTATGTTTCCGTCCTTGTTATCCCGTTAAATGATCCAGACAGGCGTCGTCAGTCGTCACGGGCAAAATGAGACACTAGATGTATCCATGCGTGCTACAAACAACGCCCTTTACTCATATGAGAGCCCTTATCTATGCAGCTACTAAAAGCTCTTTCATTAAGACGTATGGCTTTTATCGCACTCTCTATCAAAGAGTTATAAATTGCTCAATAGATTAAAAGTCGTCGTGAATACGCATTGCTTATAAATTGTAAACATAAATTGATACGCGTTTTAACTTAATGTTGTCAAACGACAAAATGTCAATGATATTTTAAGGAAAATCGGTTTAGATCTTTATTTAGCTCTACATATTCTCATTACGAAACAAAATCATTGTCCATCATTTTACTAAAGGAGATTTCCCTTTAATATGAATGGATGAAACTGGCCATTGTAAAAATCTGGGTTTGACGATCAAGGGTTTTTACTGCTACGATTAACTATTATTTATAATAACTATAACTATTATTTTGTTTACAATAACAGAGTTTATACCTATAAACAATGAAAATAGTATCAATATGGGAGGTTTGGATTTTTAGATGGTTTAAATATTTAACGTGCATTTTAATTGAATTTTATGAGTCTGTGTTATTTGATCGCCTTATTTTATATTATGGTAGAGGCGTGTTGGCGTTAGGTGGCAACCGATCTGGTAACATTTTACATTAGTAATTTTCCTAATGAAAATTTTAAACATGTTACAATTGAATTGGGATAAGAATGAACGGGAGGTTTTATAAAGCTTATAAGAAGACATAATACGTATATTAATTACAACACGTGTTGGCCAAATCCGGCACACATTGACCGCTCCGACCGTTATTATATTGGCGGGAAACTTTTTATTAATGCGTCGACGGAAATGCTAATCTGGTATTATTAACAGGAGCGCAAAATTTGACGTTGCTTAAATTGGGTTGTAAATCCTTCTTTCTCAAATGTTTCATTACAATCAATAGCGCAATAATTCAAGGCCAAGAAATAAAGCGCATGTTAACTTACCATATGTGTTATGCAACCTTATTACCTTACAGTAATTATTTTAATCTATTTTTACAATACACGCAATCCAAGCTATGGATTCTTTTACCAGTACACAACAGAACCTTTCCAGTATTTTTTACGTATAAAATCATGTTGTCTTCTGGTCCAAAAACATGGCTTATTATTAATATTGTGCATGGTTTTAAAATCATGATAAACTGGCAAATTGTGAAAAATGAAATGTCAACCTCAAATTGTTACTTTCGTGCAATCTAAGTGGGCCCGTTGTGTTTATACTTGATGCAACCTTTAGAACCGAGGAGTGCTGAGGACTGGTATTAGCATAATTGGAGGTCGACGGCGGCGGGACCGGTTTACTGCCTCGAATATCGCCGCCACATGACGTCATCGATGACATCATCACCGCACGCGAACTTTTAAC